TTTTGAGACAGGGTCTCGCTATGCAGTTCAGGCTGGCTTTGAACTTACTATGTAGCCCAGGCTGGCCTGGAACTTGCAGTGATCCTCCTGTCTCAGTCTCCAAAGTGCCAGGATTACAGGCATGCACCACTACACCTGACCATCCTGCCATTTTAAAAAATATTTTTCCCACCAAACAGAAACGATCACACAGGACCACCTTTGTTTCCTCCCAGTTATTTGTTATGATGATCTCTACCCTTATTATAAGGAGGAGCTTCTTTTAAAATCAGAATATTGAGATTGGGGCAGATACATTTCTTGAGAATTAGTTGCTGGCTCTGTTCTGTACTTCTCACAGAGAATCTCAGCTGGGATATACGACAGAGGGTGTAACAGATAGAACAAGATAATTTCAGGAAACCAATTTGGAGCACATGGAGGTGAGGTTTCCAGATCTACCAGTACATCTTGATTTGCAGGTTGGCTTACTTTATTTCATCTAGGGCTGTTGTGTTAAGCAAATCCAGGGAACAGCAATCATAGTCTGTAAAAATTATGTAATGGAGGGCCAGGGATTTGGCTCAGTGGCACCGCGCCTGCCTCCAAAGTGCAAGGTCCTCAGTTCGATTCCCAGTCCAAAAAAAAAAATATGTAATGGAGTTATACAGTATGGCAGCCCTGAAAGCTACTTTGACAACTTTTATTTCTAGTCCCTTTCTCCATTTTTTCAGTACCTACTACATGTAGCAGTAATGGTAGTCCTAATACATTCATTATTTCAGTCTCTTCATTTCCTATCTTAAGGCTCCCTTTTGAAACAACCGATAAAGTTTTATAATTTATCTGAGTACTTCAAGGAATTCTGTGAATTTTTTTGCTTTATATAAGTGTACATTCATGGGTAAAAATCATAATACCTGCTCTAACTTGTAGGTTGTTAGGAATATCAAGAGAAATAATTTATGTGAAAGCACTTTGTAAATCATAGAGTGCTATACAAATATGAGATAATATTCTTTTATTTTCTTTGTGGTACTGGGGATTGAGCATAGGGCATTGGTACTGAGCTACATTCCCAGCATTTGAATTTTTTTTTTTTTTTGAGACAAGGTCTCACCATGTAGTTGAGGCTGGCCTTGAACTCACTGTGTAGCCTAGGCTGGCTGCAAACTCATGGTGATCCTCCTGCCTCAGCCTTCCTAGTTCTGGGATTACAGGTGTGTGCCACCATGCCTGGCTAAAAATTTTTTCCACTTTTATTGTTCACAGTACATTCCTTGTAGGGAGTTGGTACATGTACATAACACATCTTGATTCTTTTTTCATCCCCTTTCTCACTCTTCCATAGCCCCTCTTTCTATCTCTTGGTCCACTTCCCTTTTGCAAAAGATCTATCTTTTGCTTTTTACATTTTGAGTTTATCATGTAAGAGAAATTATACAGTATTTAAACTTGTGGGTCTTATTTATTTTACTTAACATTATGGTTTAAAGTTACATCCATTTTCTTACAAATGACTCAAGTTTATTCTTTATGGCAGAGTAGTACTCTGTTGTGTATAAATACCATGTTTTCTTTATTCATTCATCTGTTGATGGACATATAGGCTGCTTCCAAGATTTAGCTATTATGATTGTGCTGCTATAAACATGGGTATTTATGTATCACTGTAATATAATGTCTTTAATTCTTTTGGGAAGATACCCAGAAGGGGAATGGCT